CTCGCGAAACGAATCGGATCACCCTATTCATCGGCGCAGCATTGACGAAAATCGAAACGGCCGCCTCTTTCAGAATTTATATATACCCCTCCTGTCGTCTGTATGCGTGCGCGCGCACGCCCGTACACCGATCCAATTTTTTTTCGCGCGACGTCGGCAGACGCTTTATTTTTTCGCAGCCACCGCCGCTTTATGAATAAAAAGCGTACTTTTGTCCATGAATACACCTCCGTGTGTATTTCCTGCTGAAATATTTTTCAATCAAGGCGTGCAATTTTACGCATTCCCCCGTGATGCAGTTTATATAAATAGCCGGTCTAAACGGCCTGTTGTCACGCATCGAAAATTAAAAAATCACCGCGACTGAACTTCGTCGCGCCGCGCCGCCACACCATACGTACCGATGGCGCGGCAACCAAAGTTAATGTGATGACAAAAGCGAAATTGCGACCGTAATTTGAGAATAAAAACGGTTCGTTAAGTTGATCGCGATAGAAATATGTAATGAAAGCTCGCGCGATGAAGCGCCAAAAATATATTCATGGCGTATGCAGATTATTCATAAGAGCCGAAGTATCATTTTCGATCGTATCACTTTTTTACGTCCGCATAATTACGATCGCGCGGAATCGAATGCTCCGCGCGCGATAATCGCGCGATTAACGCCGTAACGTCGGTATCCGAAATAAAGCCCGCAAAACCTGCGGGGGAAAAAAACTATTATATGCCGCGGTTGCGGCAGCGAATGTTTGACGGCTTACGGCGCGCGATTCCGATTTAAACCCTTTATACCGCGCGGCCGCGGTATTTTATTTCGCCGAAACACACCGGTTTATCAGAGCGAAACTTCGCGCGCGACGGCAACGTAAAGTTCGAGTCCGAAATCAAATCCCGCACGCTGTTATGGCGCGCTCGGTCGCCGTTAGCACACCGATACGGCTTCATTTGCGCGCGGCAGCAGCACGCGAACCGCAGTAAAATTTTTTTTATGGCCACGGCGGGAGCAAAAGGCGGAAGTAACTTTTTGGCGGCTCAAATTAACCAGCGTAACTGCGCCCACGACAATTACCGCCCGATAGCTCGGTCGTCCGTTAATGCCCCCCCTTCCTCCCTTCTACCCTATGCCGCCCACCCGGCACGGCATTAATCACGAAAAACAGTTTCGGACTTCCCGCCACCCTCCCCTCCCCTCCCCCCTCTCCCCCGACGCGGCGCCGCGCCCTCGATGCTGATGATGTCCCCGAAATCAAGGACCTTTATAAACAATAAATCTGACCGGTCCGCGCTGGTGTCCAAGTGCGCGAGCTCGCGAATGAAATGCGCGCGCTGATCAACCGTGTATGTGCGAGCGAGCGAAATTGCCGGAAATGTAAACTGAATGGTAAATTGTAAATTGCGAAAGGGCGATTCTGAAATTACCGTAAAAAAAAATCTCGCCCGATCGTGAAGGACAATGACAAAGTTGCGAGTGAAATAAAACCCGGATTATGTAGGTATTGCGGAGAGTACGCTCTTAAGCGCGTACCGCCAGAAATTGGAGGCACACGTTAAAATAAAAAGTATGCGCAATTATGACGTACATAAGAGTCCACGAAAATAGGAGGGAAGATGGTACCGCGAAATTAGGAGTCTTATTGTGAGGAGAAACGTGTCACGGAAACATGTCTTGTTGGTGGATGCCCACGATGTAGACACAAAACGGAAGATTGATCCACATTATGTAACTTGCGAATGCACTCTGTACATTCGAAATTTAATTCTGGGCCACTGGCCACGAGAAAAATACCTCGAATATCTATATTACAAATCGCGTCCCTAACGTATGTAATATGCACTTCGTGTCTTTAGCCGGCGCGATCACGCAAGTGTGGCGCGACGAAGGAAGATAAAAACAAAAGCTATCTGCCGTTGGCATGGAGACAGGCATTTGGAGGGTACATTATACCTCGTATTATTTTAGGAGGTACGTACGAGAACCACTTGCACCTTCTAAAAAATGTATCGTGAATTTATAGACGGTACCTCGAGCAGTACCTACCTCCAACAGATCGTCATACATTCATTGTTACCGCATACATTTTGTACCTCGTGCTCATATACCGGGAAAAATATCTTCTATCAGCATGTAACTCCGATCTAATTATACTTACAAAATTGTACCTCGAGTTTGCCTTCTCGAGCGGTACCTCCAACTGATCGTCATGTATTCGTTATTTCCTCGCAAATATTTATATCGAGAAAAATATCTTCTATCGGCATGTAACGCAAATCTCGATTGTACTTAAAAAATTGTACCTCGAATTTGACGGTACTACGCGATACAAGATTAAACGTGTAAGTAGAGTGAAATTAGTTTGATATTTGTAAGAGGTGTAAAGAGAGAAGAAAGAGTTTGAAGAAGGGCACAATCTACATCTGTGCAATTTTCACTTGATTATACGACTTAATTAACAGGATTTTTCTACGAAAACTTGCGTGTGTTGGAAACGTGAGAGAACGGATGCATGTGAAAGTTAAATTTTGCTATACATAAAGGGTCTTTATCATATGCGTCCAAAACGTCAAAGAAGCAGAGTTTGAAAACTCGAATCCAAAACCGTATTTAGCAGTGTACACGTTGTTATAATAACTGCATCATGTGTTGATACTTTACGGAAAATTTCTCGTTAATCGGCTCTGGGCTTTGCGTTAACTATATGCAGCGTAGTCGACCGCAAAGTGTTCGGAGCACGTTTCGCTGAAATAAGTCGACCGACTTAAGGCACATAATGTCGCTGTAACGCATATATTTTGCGAAATAGGTAGGTCCGTTAAATATAGAATGCCGTAAGGATACTGTATTTCATTGCCACGAAGATGATAAAGCTTAATGCGAAATCAATTTCTTTTTGCGCGGCATTTTCCTAGAGAGTTATATAGACGGTTCCCGGGGACCACCGCGCTGTATCGTCATAACCGTAAATATCTGGTGACGTTCATAATTCTAAGAAAGTTATGTCGCGCCTTAGTAATTGAAAAAGGGAGAGAGGGTAATATTAATGGCGCAACATCGCGCACCGTTAATCGTTTCGGGGCTACGAATGCAAGATCTATTTTTACGTTAATCACGATCGCGCCGCTAACGAGAGGAACAAATTTAATCATCGTCAGTTGCCGTCGGGTCGAAACGGGACTCTACGCTTTACTACGCGGAAGAAACGTATTCCAGCGGATAAAATGGGGTGTATGAAAAATGATTGCGCGGCGGAATGATCTCGCGGGGGGCCGAAGCCCGCGCGCGAGCTTTGGCTTTTAGCTAAACGCCGGCGGATAATTAGAGGAAAGAAAGTGGCCGGCGCCAAGTCGGACGTGAAAGCGCGCGCCCGGAGCCGGATAATAAATTGAGTTTTACCGGAGGGATCGGTTTCATTAAAGCACGATAATTCTCGTCAGTATAGAGCAAGCCGCGGCAGTTTCCGCGGAAATAAATAACGGCAGCAGTGCAGGTGCGCCACTGTCAGACCTGTCGCGGATTAATGGCGCGCCGCGCTATTGCGCCGCCTAGACTACTGCATCGAGCGTCCTTAGCGGAGGGACCGGCGCCTTTAAAAAGAGGTCGCGAGAACACACCGGGAGCCGGCATCGACGCGAGTACATCGCCGTCCTGTACCTCCTTGCGCCGCCGCGGAGGCAATCGAGATACGTAACGTATTACACCGGCGGACTATGATACTGCAAATACTACAAAGGCTAATACCGATAAATGATGCTTCCCCGCATACCATTTGTCAGGATTACGCGGAGATGCAGGCCGAGGAGGGACGGAGGGCGAAGAGGCCCTTGAGAAAGGAGAGCGAGAGAAGGAGAAACGGAGTATCCGCGCGACACACAATGGACGTGAAATATATGTTTAAAAGTACCTTTCACTTCTGTCAAATCAAGTGTGCACGTTTTTATTATCGCAACACAGAAGAGGATCGATGACAAAGTTCGCCGTTACGTGTACACGTAAATTTGCAGTTAAAATTACAGACGATATTATTAGGGGTGAGGGAGCGCTGGTAACCGCGAAGCCTGCACTTTTCCTGCTGGTAGTAATAATACATCTGATGTAAACTGAAGGGAAACGACTGTATTTCACCAAGTTGCTTTTGATTTCAAAAGCTCTCGACTGTCGCGCTTGATGCGCCATGAAAGAAAATTGCAATAAGAATAAAACGCCGTTCTCTCCGCTCCGAGTGCAGCACCAAAATAATTCTTTATGCGGCGAGAGAATGCCGCCAGGGAAGAAAAATAAGCCAGAACGAGGTGGCGTTCTTGAATACGGTCTTCCGGCGTGATTTTTGATTGTAATTTTCCAATTACATCACCCGCGCGGAATTCCGTCCGCCGAGTGGCTCTCCTTTTACAAACGGCTCGCGAGCGTCGCAATCTGATTTCTCTCCGCGAAAACTCGCCGCGCGAATAGGCAGCCCCTCCCCCTCCCCCCTCCCCCTCCCCCGAATAAGCTAATTTACGTAAGAGAATTAAAAAATGTCGCACGCGCGCTCGCGAAGGGAAACGATAAAAAGTTGCGCTTCTCCCGCGACCCCGTTCTTATTATTTCAAGTTCCGCTCGCCGGGCGAACTTGGCTCGTCCGATATCTGATATCGCGACGATTCCCAGCTTCTGGAACCCAGGGGGGGTGGAGGGGGGCGGCAGAATTGCGCGCACGCGGACGCATCATCCCCTATGTACGCCCGTCAGAAATACATCGCGGGCGCGGGCTCTCGCGGCGCCTCCCCCGATATCGATTTCAGATTTCAATTTAATGCCGTCGCGATATCTCAAGCACGATCTTCCAATACCAATTTCGTGTTATCGGACTTTTCGTGACGTGCCGCCGCCGAGCTCTTCTCCGCGTCGCGCTCGCGTTCCTCGGGACGATGCCCCTTGCGAGCGCCGCGAGAGCCTCCCCCGCTCGCGCGTCATGAATATTCCACGGCGTTAACTACATTCGGCATTTCTCTTTGTTCTCCAGTGCCGCCGCGCAAGATCACGATCGTCGACGAGAACGAGAACGGACGGGGCACGACGGTCGGGCCGTACATGGAGGGCGACAACCTGCGGCTCTTCTGCGACGTCCATGGCGGTGAGTAAATCGGGACGCGCACATGGCGCGTAACGACGAGGTCCTTTTCACCCTCGAAAGGGGAAAAAACTGTATAAATTTTCTCTGCCCCCGCAACGCAGATTTTGTTGCCGCGCGGTCGATTGGCAAAAAGAGTGGAGACAGGAGGACGTGCTGGTTGAGACGTTTTTCTTTTCTTTTTGTTTTCCGGTAATCCGTGCGAATTTATTTCTGTCTGTACGGGAAAAAATGCTGTTGAGTTAAGGCGGGGCTTTTGCACGAAGGAGCGAACAGTATTGGTGGGGCCTCTTTTATTTTTGCAAATTTATGTGACTTTTTTCATGAAAAAATATCACTTGATGCATTATTAATTAAATGTATACCAGGTTATATGTATATGCACGTTTAAAAATACGTCGTCAAATCTCATAGAGCTGTCAGAGTTCTACAAAACATTATATTTTTTCACTCTACTAATAAATATTTGCTTGCAGAGGTCGGCGATCTCATATATTTAATAGCGCATTTTAATCCTTATAACATTTATTATATTCGTCTCGTTTTTTTGTTGAGATCTACTTTATTATAACCCAATATTAACCCTCAAAGTGCTTCTACGAGTGATCGGCCAATAACCCCTATGTTAAAAAGTATAACTTTAACTTTTTTTTTCTTTCTTTTATTTTATCGGCGACTGGGTTTAAAATATTGTGTGCTGATAAATAAAACTTGCAACTACATCACATTTAAATTTCAATGTTTTCTACTTTTGGTCGGTTCGCGTGCAGGAGCCACCTTAAAAAAATTAAGTTGCTTAAATTAAACGTTAACGTCACGGGCTGTCACAAACATAAATAATTCACTCAATTGTATTTGCTATGGGTTTTCATTTGAAGCGTTGAACTAAATATTCAGATTATTAAAACATCTAATGTTTTTCATTCATTAATGCTGATGTTATTTCAACGATTTTACTTCCATTACACTGATCTTGTTGATACATCATCTTTTTGTCCGTGTGTAAATCGAAGGTTCCTATTTTTATAACGCAGTAACGCGTTTTGATAATTATTTCTTTTGACTTGAATTCGAGCGTTGTATTACTCACACCGGCTAATTGACTCGCAAGACCTCTTGGAATACATACTACGTTTGTAACATGTATTAATTACGTGCATTAATATCCATCTATTTAGTCTGTAAACGATAGCCATTAATGAAATTAGAATAATATTATGCGAATAAATATTCGCATGTTACAAAACGTCGGTGCATATTTACAAATGGATAATATTTATATATATTAATGGTGTTTGCACATCGCGTAGCTATACATTTAAAATGACTTTTTACAGCGTTATTATAAGTTTTCACGCATTTTGCGTTATTAATGATTTTGCCCCTACATTTATACATTTGTAACATATTTAACAATTAAATCATATGACTAAACTTTGCCAAGAGTCGAATATATATATATATTTTTTTCATATATTTTAATGTTACTCCTGTCTCCTATAAAGTGCAAAAGCCATTGATATTTTAAAATGCACAAAGATTTTACACGCGTATACATTAATCGACCTAAATATTAGAATATAATTTCTGTAATATTAATTACTGATCTTTGTTAATTCATTGTATTTAGTTTTCATCAATTATGCATTATACAAATTATGTTACATTAAGTAATTATTCAGATACACTGCATAATGCGGATAGTTAGATAAATAATTCGAGTGTCCATATATCTGTGATCGACGATAATATTGAAATTGATTGTTTAATGACACTATCTGTGCTCGTTCGTAATGAAAGACCGATTCCATTTGCACGATGTTAACTCTCTTCGCTAATTATAGACTGTAATTATTGCACTTCATTATCACCGTGCTTTTGAATGAAGTCTCGAGTGGCACTCGATACTTGCACCATTAAATTTGCGCGTCGCGGTAGTTTGCGATCCTGTTGAACGAGCGAAACCATCAATTCTCCGTTAAACGTCTCCGGCGCGCGTTTGCTTCGCGTAGATCTCCGCCGATCCCGAAACGTCGCGATTCGCCGGGCATCGTGCGAACAATGTCTCTATTTTTTCTCGTTCGCGCGGCTCTGACACGCCACACAGGCTGAAATCGACGTGTGTCCGCAGGTAAACCGGCCCCGATGGTGTCCTGGTATCGCAACGACCGATTCGTCACCAACCGGACCACGACGCCGAGCAGCGCCGTGACGCGCAGCGAGATCGTTATACAGAACTTGAGCCGGGACGACGTCCACTCGGTGCTGACCTGCAACGCCACGAATAACAATAGGTCGATTCCGCTATCGTCGTCGGTCCGCGTGGACATGAATTGTAAGTATCCGATATGCGACGCGAATAAAAATTCGCCCTCCCGGGCACGCACGGATGCGCGGAGATTCCGCGCCCCCTCGCCGCCGGGCACGTTTTATCGGGCGTTTTTAATTTGCGCGATATATGATAATTACAGCCAGCGCGATTACCTGCGCGCGACGATAATAACGACGTATCGTTACGGCGCGATTACGGTAAAAAAAAACCAGCGTTTTAAAATATTCATGGGAATACACGTCGGCGAATTTGTCGCTGGGACGGCGCGAATCCCGGCGCGGCGTAATGAGGATTCGACAGTTTCCAAACGCCTTCCGTTGGATTTAATCGTCTTATGGCGACAATGACACAGATACGCAAACTTAGATAGATGAACTCCCGATCCTTTAATAGGATAGAAGCTGAACGTGTGTTTGAAGGACATGTAATCCCGGGCGCTCGGCGCGATATTGCATTTGCCTTCACTTACGGGTAAAGAGGATTCGTCGAACTGTATTATACACCATCGCGCCATTGACAAACCGTCCGGAACCGCCGCGAGATGTTTATCGGGATAATAGAAAACTCGATGGCCACTTTTTCTAGACCCCTCCCTATTTTTGCGAACCGACGACGAATAAGCCGTCGGAAGGGTGGGCGATGGGAGGAACGCGAGAGGACCCGTCGACAGAGAGACGAGATACTCGGCCGCTCGGCCGGGAGTTCGTCGGTCTGCATCGAGAGAGAATCTGGGTCCATCTGAGCTTTAGTCGGAAAATAGCGGCCTCTCGCTCCCGCGCGGCTGTCCGTCCTTGAAAAGATTATAGCCGACGGAGAGATCTATATTCGCCAATCGAGCCTTGTATCAGGAGTCGAATCCGTCCGACCTCCCGTTTGCAATTTCATTTCTCATTATCTACGCGCGTGGCACGCAGTCCACCGAAGTCGATAATTAGTCTGGGTGAACAATAATCAGTTTAAACGGGGCGATGATTATAAAGCGATGTTGGATATCAATGAAAATCATTCTATTTCAATTCGCTCTTTTTACGTGGGGAAAACCCGGTTTTGCCGAGGTATCAGCTTCTTACAAAATTATGGTGTTGTGCTGGGCCAACGAAATTATTTTAAGATCTGTATCTAACTACATTTTCAGACATTTGGGCAAACCGTTCCCTTCGTATATATATATATATATATATATGTATATTAGGGTGGTCCTTATTTACTCTTGATCAAAATTTTGTTTTCGAATTTTTTCCACGGCACCTTCCAGAATGTTTCCAATCCACAAAAAAATAGTCCCTGCCAAATTTCAGCTTGATCGGACAACGGGAACCCGTGCCCCCGACACGTTAAACATTTGAGTTCCCTGTTTTATACAAGGGAACTCAAATGTTTAACGTGCCGGGGGCACGGGTT